ATCGTATCGTGACCTAAGTATCGCGACATGTATCGAATCGCAACACTCATGCCAATACTCACCTCTACTAAATGTAGCATCGGACGGGGAATAAATGAGTCAAACTGGTATTAATAATATTTATATCACACATTGGTGACAGTAGGATAAGTGATTAAACTGGTTGTGGAAAAAGTAACAAGCAAACAACTTTAGAATAATCTGTCTGACTTTCCCTTCCTTGCAGACGTTAAACTCTTAACAGTGAAGCTTTTTCTCAATCAGCCAAAACAATCGACATTGTAACCATGTTGGTGCTGACTTACTGCTGTCCAAAAGAGGTCCGCTGCGGTCATTTGTAACGGCTTTCTTTAGCCTAGCGCCTTTGCAAATATCGGACAAAAGAGCCCCCCGTCCCAACTGCTCTGATCGGTTCAGATTGGGCTTCTCTGTGTTAGCCTGAAACACAAACACACAACAAGAGTCAAACTTAGAAACATCGTTACCAACTCTTTAGCAAGGACAGTCATTATTGGCTGTCCGTAAAGTCATCTGCATATTTGGTAATGCTTTGATCAAGCTGTTGGAAATGGGGAACATCAACATCAGCAAGACAAAAGGAGATGAAAAAGCCTTTCAATACGTTTTAGACAAAAATAAACTCTATAAAGTCATTTAAAATATTAATGAATAGTTTACCTGAATCAAAACTGCATAAATCAATGTTATGCTGTAAAATTTGGTCACGCTTGCTTTTACAGTACATCAATAACCATGTAATAACATGGTAATAACTTAGCAGGTAACATTATAATACTATGTAACAAGAAAAACTTTATGCAGAATTTTGGTTCAAATTTTAGGCCAACAAGTCAGACTTCTTAGATGGCAAACCGTTATTAATAATAATAATACATTTAATTTATACTGCACTTTCCATCAAAACATCTCAAAGTGCTAAATGTAAAAAGAGAGAAAAAACAAAACAAAAATAAAACAAAAAACAGGCAATTCAGTCATTTCACTGACAGCAATGTATCAATGTGTTATTATCTAGTAAAATGCAGTTTATTTCTTGGCATATAATAGAAAATCGAACCTAGAAGACGACAAACCAATCTTTTTAACTTATATGTAACTTGAGTTCAGTTATATAATGATTTATTAACCAGATCACAAGTTACAATTTACTTTGTAAGCTGTTGGTAGGTGGTGGTCAATAATAGAAACTGTTATGTGCTAACCTAATAGTAATTACCCACCAAAAGTCTCCATTGTTGATATAGTTACATACAATTGTAATAATTACATGCAGGTAAATTACCTGCATATATACCTTAATTTTGGAAAGCGTTACTTGAAATTCATATTAAAAACTGTTATAGCACCCTTTTAGTGCAACGGTTTCATATAAAAAAAAAAGGATGTTAAATATAATATCTACTTCACTTTCATTTAGGGGTGATCAGTGGAAGCTTTATGCATGTGAGACTCGTTTTCAAAGGGGAAAAAGAGGGAAGTCGTGCTTCTCTTTCTGACAGCAGCCATAGTTTGTCGCCGACTCTGACCAACTGTCAGTGTCTTGGGAAAGGGAGGGGCTGGCAGCAGCACTCACTGCTCCCTAAAGACGGTAAACTCACAGCAGTCGCCACTTTTTTTCCTGAAGTCTCCAACAATAATGAAAATAGTCGCTAGATATGTTGCTGCTCACTCATTTGAAAAACAAAATCTATTGACAAATTTGGCAGCAGTGGTTAGAAAAAAACTGGCAGAACAACAGAGAAAGTCATAAAAAGAAGAGAGAAATATTTGGACCGACACAATGCATACTGTACCAATGACTTAATTAGTAACGTTTTATTAAAGTGGGATAACAGTAAAGTCATGGTAGACCCTAAACATGAATGTTTATTTTTTGGCAACTTCAGTCCTAATTTCTGCAGAAAAACAAAATCTACATAAAGCAAAAGAGAAAAGCATAAACTGATCTAAATGATCTAATATCTGTTCTGGTTCATTAATTTTACCAACATACATATTCAGTCTTTTTTTTTTTTTTTTTTTTTACCAGGTGGATTTAAATCTCTATTCAGTGAAAATAATTAGCAAACAAAACTGACTTTCCTTCTAAAAGGATAAAAAAAACCTAACTTGTCATGAAAGGGTTCAACCACAAGATGTCTCTGCTGAGTTCGCCTTCTAAGATGGGAAGGGGACTTACAACAGCGAAAGTGGGAGGAGGGGGAGGCCCAGGGGGAGGTGGGGGAGGTGGGGCTGGCATCTTCTGCTCTTAGCTGGACTCTATCTGCACTGGACTCTGCACTCTGTAAGACAAAAGAAAGGAACAATCAGGAAATGGGCAAGCTGGCGTCACAGTGTGACTTAGGGTCGACTATGAGTCGGAGTCTTCCTGCACACCAAGGAGAAAAACACAGATAAAAGCAAACTGGGAAACTTTCCAATGTTCAGAAATAGGGGGGAAAAAAGCAAAAAAATAAAACATTAGAAACACTTAAAGAAAATGTTTTCAAATTGACAAGAGCGTTTCAGACTTCGGAGGGTCCTCCACTCATGCAGCATCAGTCAGCATTTAAACAGAAACTACAAGTGGAAATTCTAGTTCTTACTTCTCATTTTTTCTCTTATGCTTAATTTAAATGATAATCTGGTGGAAGTCATAATAAAAATGTTAAGATTAAAATATATTATACAATAAAATAAATACTAAATAAAACCAAATACTCCTTGCTAACTTATCCTAAGTCCTATAAGTTGCCTACAGCATATGCATGTCTGCACCTGCAGCCATGTTTTAGTGGACTGAAGCATCTTTTAGATCAGAAAAGTGGGATAAATAATGAATGCACGCTGGTGAGAAAGTCTGAACTTATCACTGCTACTTTCTCTTCCTCCTTCCACCAGCTCTGCTTTCACCACAGTGAAGGCAGAGCTGGGATTCTCACTAAAGCATGAACGGCTTACCAGTATCAAAGTGAAAAAGGTTATCAATTATCCATTAAGCCGCCGTGCACCATTAGAGCAATTTAAGAAAATGCAAGACAGAGCTGCATTGTGGAGAGAAAATCAAACCGTAATCTACTTGCTGCTGCACACTGCTGCTCAGCTGCTTGAAAAAGGGAGTACAACAGTTCTTTACCTAAAAGAGTGAGACATGAAGCTGTTTTAAATATGTTTTAAAACAAACAGCACTGATTGCTTTGTGTGAAAACTAAATGACACGTTGGTGCTGAGACCTGTCAGCAATCAGTCAAAATTGATAATTATAGGTCCGTTTTGGTTTTAATCCATTTGAAATAATGAACGGGGGGGAAGGTTCTGAGTTTATTTAAAAAGCCTATTTACACATGACATTTAGAAAAAGAGGTCAGCTGTACTACTAACCTTGCAGAGTTTGGGAGTGTTGGCAGAAGTTGCTTCCATCCCCCAGAATGCCATGCGGTTCTGGATTGCACTTTATCACTTTATCTGACTTTTCTTTTTAATACTATGTCTATTGCGATACAATTTTAAAAATCCTTTTACTGCCCAGCCCTATGTCTTAACACACTTTTCAATACTGAAGGTGGCTAAATAAATATCCCTAATAAAAAAGCACAACTTTAGCAGACTTAAGCTTTTGCATCAAAATTAAAGTAGTAAAGTATTTCCGAGATGTGCTCAACCTTCCATTTTATCCATGCCCAGAGGAAGATCTGCGTCTGCGCAGTCCAAACGCCAACATCAAGCAAGGAGAAACTCTGCAGAACATCTCCAGTATTCATGCCTTTGAACAGCTTCTCAGCTTTTTTGGTTGTTGTCACAACACTGACTTTCAGTTCCTTAAACGATTTTAGCAACACGTTAGAGGAAACGTCTGGCCGAAAACACAAACTGACTTTAAACATGGGCTTACTGACTGACAGGAGGCATTACAGTATCTCAGCTCCAGCCCCAAAATGAACATTTCTCTGATTGGTTAGAATTTTCTAATGGTAACAAGCTTTAAAATGAATGCAAAACAGAAACTTCTACCCACGGCTAAACTTTACCAATGAAACATGATGTGATTTTTATCTGAAATAAAAACAAGTGTACTTTAATAGAACTGAAAAACAAGAAAAAAAAATGCAACATCTGTTCTCTCTTACTTGCCATGCCCTATACTCACCACGTGATGGAGAACCAGCAAAGAGTTCAACTCAAGGGAGGAAAAAGGGTAATAAAATACAGGCAATCATTGCCAACGGTTCAATGAGCTTACATACAAACATAATGTGCCACTGAGCAGGAACTTAAAAGATGAGTTCCCTAAAATCTTATTCTCTCTTAACTCCATATTGCTTACCAGCACTGGATACATCTCTGAGTAACCATTTTGGATACATTTCTATTTGATGCAAATTTGTCACAATAAAAAAGTATAAAACATTCAGAACAAAAACCCTATAGGCCGCTCAGAGTACGTATTCACCTCCCTCCTATTGCTTAGTTTGGTCAAACTAAAAGGCTTCAGTTTGTAAAACAAGCTTTTATACTAGAACATTAACCCAGCTAAATAAAAGAATCTAATTTCATTAGTAGTTAGATTTTGTTAATGGAGGGGAAAAAAATCTATCTAAACCAACTAAACCAGGTGGAATAGCAATAGTTCACTAAACCCAGTAACAGATGATGCCCCCACCCACCCCCTGCAGCCATAACCGCCATCAAGCATTTGGATTTATTGGAAATTAGTCACTGACATTGATGTGGAAGAAAGTCTGTCCACTGTAGAAGGGTTTTAAGCATTAAATACTTAATCCTTCCTGTTCTACAGCATAACAGAACTGCTGTAAAGCTTCTGGTAAATAAACTAAATAGACCTGAACTTCTCCTTTCTTCAAAGCAGAGATAACCCTTTCTTTAAATGAGGAAAGTAATTATATCTCCTGTATCAGCCCAAGACCATCACACAGGGGGTTGTTGATGAGCACGGAACAAATGTCATGATAGTTTGTGCCGTTTAATGAAAAACCATGAAAAGTGGAGAAATTCATTTTAAAATTATTGTCACTGTTGTTGTTTTTTTGGCACTGCATCTGTCTCTACACAGTCAGAAACCAGGGAAACAAAAGAAATAAAGCTCTAAAGGTAAAACTACCAAGAGAAATAGGCTTTTTTAGCACACCAGGTACAACTATTGCATTAAACTATGTTTCCAAAGATAATGGTATAGTGGCTGTATTGAAAAACACCAAAAAACAATGTTTGGAATTTAAAAGATGATAAAAAAAAGTATGAATTACAGTTTACTATTATCAAAATAAATTGGTTATCTTTTCCTGAATTCCAATTTCCCACAATAGTAATAAATAGTTCAATAATTGCGGCTACTTACATCACAATACCATGTTTTACTGTCTGTAGGCTGTTTTTCTATGAAATGCAGTGTTAGATGGGCTGAACATTTTCCAGAAAGTTCCACTTTTCTTCTTATCAGTCAACAAAATCATCCTAAAAGCTTTGAGGGTTCATCGCAGTTCTTTTTCTATTTCCATTTTTGTCCAATCTTATTTTACGCTCATTTGCAGTATTCACTTCTTTAGTAGCTTAGCTTTCATCCGAAAATCAAGCAAATTTTGAGCAAACTTTTAAAAATTCAAATGAAAAAATGTGAATTAGATGTGTTTTCATCTATTGGAGCGATTTAGCCCGATGATGTAAAGTGTAATGTCATTATCTGTTTAGATTGTGCTTGGCTGTAATAAACAGAAAGTAGAATAAACAATAATTGTCTACCAAAGATCAGTAATAGACTGTGCTTTTAAGGATTTTTTGATACAGAATCAGCTAATCAGTTGAGGGTGAGTGGACACGTGTTTCCATCTCCTCATTAGCACTTACGCTTTTAAGAAAGGATTAAAAAAAAACACCCCAAGCCAGCAAAAAAATAAAATAAAATAAAAACAGTTTTGGGAATTTTATCCACTTGATCAGAATCAGTGTTTCCCAAAACCTCTTCTAATGTGATACTTAAAAATGCTCATAAAAAACATTGATGGAAACATGAGTAATGATGAAGAATTTACATTTACTCAAACAAGTGAGGCATTCAGCACTGAGTCCACACAAAGCTTAGTTTTAGAGGACACTAAGATCCTGGGTTTGACAGGGCGTCATCAATACGAGGCAGTTGGGAAAAGAGTTTAGATGGATGAGTGAGGTAAAGTGGAGAAAATAAATGATCACGCCTGTGATGTATAACTGACTCCAAAAGGACTCTAACTGGAGCAGAGATGAATAATAGCAGCAGAGCTCTGAACACTCCTCCACTACACAAGGAAACAGGGATTGTAAGTTAAAAGCTAGAAAAAGGGCACTATTTCAGATAAAAGGCAATATCAGGGGCAGTGCAAGCCATTTGGGGACCCAGAGCACAAATACTGTGTGGTACCCTCACCTAGAAAGGAGCAATAGTACAGTACTTGGCATGTTTCCCTTTATTTTCAAAATAGCTACTCTATATTTGTGCTTTGAAAAAAGCAGAAATGAATAAGAGAAGAAATTAAAAGCGTGAAAAAAAGGCACTTCAATTTTGCACCAATGATTTTGCATATAATTCCAAACAAGATAACTGTGTTGCCTATCAAAATATAACTGAAACAACCGATTTCAATAAAAGCATAATTGGAGACCAGGCATGTCCAAAGTCGTCTTCCCAGGGCTGCTGTCCTGCAGGTTTTAGAAGCGTCCTGGCTTCAGCAGAACTGACTTACATTGAAAGCTGATTAACAGGCTTTTGCTGAACTGCAATCATCGGATTCAGCTGTGCTGAAGCTGAGAAACATTTAAAACCTGTAGGACAGCGGTCCTCAAGGACTGACTTTGGACATACCTGGCTTAGACTCTACTCTGTCAGCATCTGTAAATAACTCCAAATATCCCCTGGAAGAATTTTTCCCATTTGTGCCACAGCCTTTCAAATATAGCTGAATCAGGTCTCAGGTTCTAAGTTTAGCCATTTAACTGATGCACATAACAGCAAAGCTGAAGAAAGAGGCAAGAACCGCCATTAATTGAGAATTGAGCTAAAAAAAAACGCACATATCAAACCCTCATGCATAGCCATCCATTTTCACACTTAAGTCGTGCTATTCCACCTCAGAAATGCTCTCACAGCTCTGCTTCACACTTCAGACCATCCCTGAGGGGCCTCTTACTTCCTCTATGCAGCAACAAACAGGAAATCACAACGCGCCTCCAGCACCGCAGCCATCCGGTTGCCAGGATGATGATGACAGTTTCATCGCAGCTACTTATCAATTTCATATTTAAGTTCTCTTTG